TTTTAAATCTTAGACTCTTGTTTCATGTTTATTGGTATTCGATACGTTTAAGCCTAAGAAAATTTATGATCGATTTAAGAATAAATTTTAATGAAACAGTGTCTTCATTTGTAACTTTAGCAACCTTCTATATTAATTAACCTACAATTATTTCGTTTCTATGTCACGTTGACGGTGTATGATAAAAGAAGTTGCAATAGAATTGCTTTCATTTTAGCAAAAATAGTTTGAATCACGTGCAACATTCACATGATTCTAAACATCAGATATTTGATAGGTTTTTAGATAACGCTATGCAGAAATGAAATGTAATGAAGGTACTGTTTGGGTGATTATTGCATTATACAGCAATATATTTCTTGATTAATTTAAGCTCCACATACGGATTTTATTTACGTGTGAATAATGTTGTTGATAAGTAATATACCTAGTCATTAGTTTACACAAACACCTTACGTGACCTATTAGCTAACACGTAAGTTAGGTTTCACAAAACTCACCCTAAAACGTGTAACAATGTGATTTCATGTGAACAAGTTATAATAGGCAAACTATATTAATAAAGTCTCTCAATCAGCTGGATTTCCAATCTTGAATTTATCAGCAATTTTAGGCTAGCAGGTGTATTTTCAGATTTTCTATTGAGGTAGAAGTAAATTTTTCACTTTTGAGAATATCGTATTTTCGATCAATTGAGTTTAAAGTTCTTTCTCATATTACTTAGTTTTCAAATGAATCCAACTGGATCTCCAAAATTGTCAATATAATAATGGGTAATTGCAATGATTGATTGATTGTTTAAATTTATACGTGAGATGAATAAACAACCTACTGATGACATGTTATCTGTATCAGAACTAAACTTTTTATCAACACTTCATCTTCACATCTGCATATGGTCCGGAACTAGTCGATCTTGCTCAATAATAAATTGGGTTCACGGTTTATCACATGTTAGCATAGACTTCTGTGGTGTTTGTATGAACTAATGATTCCTTTGCACTTGATGACTGCTTGATTTCGAATTCCAAGTACAATACGTTTGTTCGTGCTCATCTAATACTTCCTGGTTAAATTGCGTTATTTCTGAGATTTCTAGATTGTACTATAATTAAAATACTCCTAACTATCATAATTTCTTTTAGTTAGTTCAGTTTCATGTAATCACAGTGAGATTTTGTAATAAACCAGTCAACTATTAAAGTTACCTCGGTAACCTAGATACATTGACTTGTCCTCGATTCTTGACCCTGTATTTACTAGAAAACATATTCAGAGTTTAACGATTAGATATCCAAACAATTTCATCAATATTCATAGTTTAAATCACAAAATAATCTTAGTTGAACCACCACTGAATCCAGTGCTTACTGGTTTCCATTGATGGTCTAGGTAACATAAAGTCCATAATTTAAACTATATAATTCTTACACTTCCTATTAACCTCCTTTATTACTCATTTGGTTAATAGTTTTGTCTAAATGAGGTGAGGATACTGAATGATATAAGCTATCCAATTTTTTAAATTGATATAATTATATTACTAAGTTAGATTATTATTATTATTAGAGAAACAACTAAAAAATATTTTGTGATTTGTAAATATGGGAGTTGGAATTTTAAAATAATAGACTATTATTTTGAATTCCGCTGTTAACTATGTGTCCTTATAATTCAGTCATCACTTCTCTCTCCCAACAAATATGTTGTTTGTGTTCTAGTGAACTCGATATCTCTTTATATGAAATTTTTTACTTAAATAACCAATTGATGATGAATGAATCTAACTTATAATTAGTTTGCTTATGAACTGAATATTGTATCAATGGTTGTGTTTATTTACAATAGAAATATCTCAGATTGTGAAAATTACAGTATTGTACTCTTAAAATTTTGAAAACATTTACTAGCTTTTAATGACAAAATATTAAGAGGGCTCAGTAGCTAAGTGGATAACGCGATGGCGTTTGAAGCAAACGGTACTGAGTTCGAATCCCAGAGTGAACAACTCTGAGATGCAGGCACATCCAGTTGACGAGTCCCAAATAGGACGAAACGCGCGTCCTGGATTTCACTGCTAACGACTATCTATCTTTACCCCAAATACCCTGGTATGACCGAGAGTGGGGAGGCCCTCTCTTCCTCTCGAAATGCTCTCATATGGCCACGCGTATATAGCCTCTGCCAGGCAAGTCCTACTCACTGCCTTCTCGTGGCATTTCTGTTGTTTACGAAATTGAGAGGATGAAAAGCGAATGTCCGGCGCTTTAACCGTGTTGCTGGACATGGAGATTCCACCTAGGGGAGTTGGAAAACCCTGATTCAAAACCAATGGTGCACATGGGCTCCAGTATCCTGAAGGAACAAATGGCGTATGAACCAGTTCCTTGGTCACTGGCTACCATAGGAATGCATCTCCTTACGATGCTCCACTACCTTGTGGATCAGACCTTCAGGTCGAAGGCTCCGGGTGTGGCCCCTAAAGAAAACCACTTGCCTCGGTTTGGGCACCCGGGCAGTATCACAGCCCTCACACAAATAAAATGAAATGACAATATTTACTAGAAATACTGTTCTTGTTCCAATTAAAATTCAGACAACTCATATCCATTTGATAACATTCATTACTTTTTTACATACTACGTCACTTATATACTCTCTTTTATTCCCACTTTGTTGTGGCATATATATATATATATATATATATATATATATATATATATATATATATATATATATATATATATATATATATATATGGTGCTCCCCTGTACCAATATTTGTGTTCAAATAAAATAAAATAAAAAATAAAGAGAACATATGGAGTTGTATATTTTTATGAAAGGTTTTTAACTGTATACAATTAATTCCTTTTTGTAATTTTGTGTTTTAAAATCTCAGATCACAGCGCATAGTGATAACAGTCATCTTGTTTTGTGTGAAATCTCGGTGCTGCTTTAGAATTTTATTTTCTTTCCTTATTATATTTTTTTGGTAGATTTTGATTACATTACCTCTTTATCTTAATAGTTGCCAATATTACCTAGTAAATATTTTCCTTTAAATTTACAGTGAATTAAAACTAAAACACCAATTCAAATATCTGTAGACGATAAGGTGGTAGTTGGAGGTAGTTTACAGGAAACTCTGGACCTAGATTTCGTGCTATTTTAGAATCGTCAGCAAAGTATGTCTGTAATCTTGAGGAAACTTATGCATCCTGATGGATTGGGTCGATAGAATTTGATCTGCACTAAGAAGGAACTTACATTTATGGCATTGGTCACTGTCCAGTGATTAATCAATTAGAAGTCTGTAGATGGATTATAACTGATGATCATCAGGTCTGGATGCAGATGGATAAAACTAAAGTAAATCTGTTAAGTACATATTGGTTGTCTCCAAAATACATTTTAACAGAAAGCGAGTTAACATTTATTAAACCTTTCCAAATAACTCTGTCTGTAGTTCTCCTAGAGTTACTGTCGGTCCCAAGCCCGACTAAAGGAGAAGAGTTGGAAACCTCATTCCGCAGAAAAAAATCTTGCTAAAAAAACGCCAACCAGGTTAAAAAATTAAACTCTGCCCTGGGTGTTGAAGGAAGATTTTTGACGCCCCAGGATGAAAGCTGAAATTCTTCGGTCACAAGGCCGACGCCCCTTCTAACAACTATAGCAACAATTGTTATAGGTGTTGTAGAGGCTAGTTTCCTCTATATCTGACTCCAATAAGTGATATCTCGTTAACTGAGTATTTAAGGCAGGCTAAATCTCTTAGTAGAATTATTGATTTACTCGAAATTATTCAGAAGCCTGAACACCAGTTGTAGAGATATTTTATTGTTAAAGATTAATAAGATCCGCAAGCGTACAGCAAACAAGCACACTGTGAAACCAAGAGTGTGTGTGTGTGTGAGTTAAAAATCCATATATATTTTTGAGTGTCAATCAAGTGTGGATAAATTATTGATTATCTGTATGTTATAACCAACAGGAGAATAGATTAAGGTTTGATGTGCAGACACGCGCTCAATCATACACACACACAGAAATTAACAGTGAATTAAGTGTCTGAATTACAGTGAGTAGACAAATAGCACAATAGTTGAATGGGCTTGCTACAGCACATGGGACGTCCGGACGATGTAGGAGACTGAGAGGACCAATCAAATAGCAACGGAAATGAGGAGATACAACTCGAAGGAATCAGTGAAACCCATTGGACCCAAGTTGGACAGAAAAGGTCTGATATGCGAGAGATGCTCCTGTCACGGACAGGGGAATGCTCCACACACTAAGAACAAGTACCGATGGACTGAAAGGAAGGAGATCTCATCAAGAAATCAAAGAAAGGAGATCTAAACAAGGGTGAGAACTACAGAGGAATCACACTACTGTCAGTAATAGGAAAAGTCTTCAACAGAGTGTTGTTGAACAGGATGAAATATTCAGCAGACACACAACTTCGAGATCAACAGGGTAAATTACGTAATTATCGGTCGTGCACTGACCGAATCACGACACTACTGATCATTGTTGAACAATTAGTTGAGTGGAACTCATCACTATACATTAACTACATCGACTATGAGAAGGCATTTGACAGTGTGGATAAGCGAACCCACTTCGACACGATGGAGTACCTGAGAACATCGTCAACACTATCCGGAATTTATACGACGGACTACAGTGCGAAGTGGTGCATGGAGGACAGCTGATAGATGCATTCCAAGTGAAGACTGGAGTCAGACAATGCTATCTACTCTCAACCTTCCTCACTATTCTGGTGGTCGACTGGATTGTGAAGACCTCGATATCTGAGGAAAGGCATGGAATACAATGGACAACTTGCATGCAACTCGACGATTTGGACTTCACAGATGACCTGGCACCTGGCCCTTCTATCCCATTCACACCAACAAATGCAGATGGAGACAGCCAGTGTAGCAGAAGTCTCTGCATCAGCGGGCCTCAACATACACAAAGGAAAAAGCAAGATCCTCAAATACAATATGGAAGACACTAACCCGATCACACCTGATGGAGGAACTCTGGAACAGGTGGAATCTTTCACATACTTCGTCAGCATCATCGATGAACAAGGACGATCTGATGCAGACGTAAAGGAGAGGATTAGCAATGCAAGAACTGCATTCCTACAATTCAAGTATATGTGGAACTCAAAACAACTGTCAACCAATATCAAAGTCACAATCTTCAATACGAACGTCAAGACAGTCAGTTTTATTGTACGGAGCGGAATTCGGAGAACTACTACAACCATCACCAAACATCTACAAGTATTTATAAACAAGTGTCTACACAAGATACTCAATGTTCGTTGGCCGATTACCATCAACAACAGTATAATGTGAGAGGACAAAGCAACATCCAGTTGAGGAGGAAATTAGGAAAACACATGGGAAGTGGATAGGACGTACATTGTGCAAATCATCAAACTGCAACATGAAGCAAGCGCTAACTTAGAATCCTGAAGGGAGACGAAAAAGAGGAAGGTCAGAGAACACCTTGCTTCGGGAATTGGAAGCAGACATGAAAAGGATGAATAGCAATTAGAAAGGACTGTTCAGGACAGAGTTGGATGGAGAATGCTTATCGAATATCGATGCAGTAAGTAGTCTCTACTGACAAGTCGCTGGCATTTATCGTTTAGTAAATTTCAACACCTATATTTAGCAGTTTCACGTAGATCTGGATGCGATCTTTCAATTAGATGAACAGAATTAATGTATCAGTACTTCAGTGAAAACAAACTAATCGCATTCACTCTACATTATTCACTTGATTATTAGATACTTCATTTTGGCTGAATCCATTCTATAAGCTGAGAATAATTACAGCCTTTTTCTACCAAACTGCTGTATTGTAGATTATTTCTTTGCGATTTTCTAAACTATTTCCCCGAAAATAAATCACTTGTTTCGGCAAGTTAATTTAATACCATGTATAACCTTTGACTTCCAACAGCTCTATATGGTCGACGATGTGAGTTTATAGTAGCTTTGTGTTGTTCATTGTATTGAAATTTGAATAATTGTACATTTTTATCATTTATATGAACTACGAATAATAGGGAAATTTTCGATGCATCCATTCAGTTGGTGGTGTGGGTGTGCGCAGTGTTTATATTCGTATTTCATGTTAAAGTATTAAAACATAATTCTTGATAACACCACATGTTAGTCTTCTGTTATTAAGAACCTATACTTCTGGTTTATCTCTTTCTAGCTAAGGATATACTGGTGGTCGGGAATTATCGCATTACACTAAAAGTACACGAGGCAAGCAACAAGTTTTCCTTCACTCTTCAAATATCGAGAAACAGCAATTAGTTTACAACTCTCACCATCCAATGCATTTATGAGGTAATTATGTTTCTGGCAGTTTTAGTGGTGAACTTACACAGGCGTTCCTTGACAAAGGCATCTAAAAACTAGATGACGGTGACAAGGAAAAGCAACATCTGCGGAGTGGATAACATTGACAGTTATCATTAGCTATGTTGTAAAGTTCGTCTATCTGTGATAGACTAATCATGAAAAGCTTTGGTACGCAGATTCTGAAGTACCTTGTGTACCCCGTTTCATATTTTATTATGCTCTTTGGAAATGTTTTACGTATGATATTCAAAAAGCTTCTACACTTATCTTTGTTTTTGATGCTGGGATTAGGTGTAAAAGTAAATGCGATCAGCCTATGAAATCAGAGTATTACATTATTTTGTGTAGCTCTTTATAATTCGGATGAGTCGTGATTTGTTTCGGATCCACTTAACTGTTTATGAGAGAGAGAGAGAGAGTATTGTCACAAATCATTCGAACCTAACGCTGCGTGAATAAACAATATACAACAGTTCAAAACCTACCACATTATCCATTTGATCTACTTTTAATGGGAACTGGATAGCATTTAATAGAAGTGATTGTTTAGAATCTCCTTAAATTACTTAAGACTGAGTACAAGTCTACCAATCAAACCTGTTATTTATAATCTAATTACAAGTGATTGATAGATATTCGAGTGAAATCTGTGTCAAATAACATTGATTCTTATTAAAACTTATACTAAAGTCGATGAGTCGTTGTGCTGAAATAAATGTAACTATAAATTGTTTGAGATCTTTATTAGTTCTATCACGATAGTATTTTAATAAAAGTTTATGACACGCATTTTGTTTAACTAGAAATTACTTCAGTAATGTTAATTTAATACGTTTTATCAGATCATAGAAAATAAGATGGAGAAGAAAATTAATTCTTCTTCATTCCGAAACTTTTTTTTAACTACGAGTAGCCTATAAGATACATGAATTCTTTAAAATTATAGTACACGTTTTTTTAGCAGAAAGCATGATGAATAGAAAAGAATTAACAGTACACTTCGCAAACGGAAATTTTTAATTATTATAAACCAAAAAAATGGAAGATCCTGGAAATTTCGTTTGTCTAAACAAAATAATATTACTACTAAATATAGTTCCTGCCTGAAAGATTTTACCTGAACCGATTGAACCTAAGTGGGCTTTTACTTCGATATAAAATAAACCTGATCAAGATACTTCTACATAGAATCAAAGCTATGTGCTCCTCAAATGCAATTGCAGATAAAATAAATGAATTGCGTAATGCTCTAAAAAATGTGTAGGCCCCCAAATGCCATAGTACGGCCGAGAGTGGGGGAAGTCGGCTCTCCCCCTCCAAATGCTCTCACATGGCCACGCCTCTGCCAGGCAAGTCCTACTCACTACCTTCTCGTGGCGGGGGCTAATTAATTAATCGTTTGATGATATGGTGATATTTGATTGGTGTCCACACAATCTTCCTTTTACCATTTTCATAGCTTAAACTGATCTTATTCACACATATTATGATTATTATCACAATACTTAGAAACATCTAGAGACATTTATTTAGCACCCAACTCTTCATACTAAAAATATACTTTTAAAAATAAATGTTTGTTTACAAATTATTTCAAGTAATTTGTCGGTTCCACATCAGGGAATGTGTAGTATACAATAATCTATTCATACTGGAGCACTTTACTTGTTAATCCACTCTAGATGTAAAAAAATACTCAGTCCTAAATACCAATGATCTACTACCAAGATATTTAAAACAACTGGAAACTATTATAATATTATCCTGATGATGACTGAAGTTACCAAACGAGAAGTAAATATAATTAACTATTTTTTGACACAGACTAAACATATCTGAACCCCTTCCGAATGAGCTGAGGACGATTTCTAACAAATAAAATGAACTATATTTATTAAAACTGGAAAATTACAGTACATTATCATTTCTTTATATGTCGGGTTTTTCCATACTTTCGAAAAGACAGTGTTTACTAACACCAACGATATATCTTATGCCAATCCTACAGCGAAATAAGCTGTATTATGAAAAGGATCAAAAGTCCTGGAAGTATGTGTCCCGAAAATCTTTCTGAGTAAAACAAAAGGCCGGAAAAGACTAGAAGATAAAAAAATTCCATCATATAAGAAGTCAGTGAAATGTATGAAATCAGTTACAATAATTTGAAGAAAGCTCAAAAAACAGATAGTCAAAGACAAACACCATATAGTCATTTAACTGCTGATTCGCTTTTCATGCGTAGTTTAATTAAATGTTTTATTTGTTGAGAAGACGCCTCTAGTTTTGCACGTCGACTGGCAAGTTCCAAGGATAAATTCACAGCACGTCGAAAACAAGATTGTGCATGACGTAAACTAGAAGGAACAAGTACTCCAGAAAACCATCGGATTGGGTCTGTTGAAGGGTTAAGATCAGACTTACTGCTAGCCAATTCGTCAATTAGCTGAAAACGAGTGGTTTTAAAATCCTTATCATAAGTAGGTTCGATAGGCTGGAAGGAAAGTGAAAAACGTAGTATTATACCTCTTGAAATACATGTCATCTATGAACGTATAGACCGTTTTAGAAACGATTTGATTATGTTTCAGATCTTTATTCCCATAATAAAATTTTCAAACCGACCCTGATTCAAAAGGCTTGAAACATATATAGAGTAATCAATATTAATAGGAGAAAAATCATTTCGATTTGCGTCCTGTTAAGTTCCATTAAAACTCGTGGATAAAATCAAGCATGACTATTCTGAACAATTCAAGTGAAATTTGTTACACATAAAAAGCTGGATTACATTTCAGCGTGTTTATCAGTTCATAAGCGTGTGAACAAATACAAAATGTGTATTAACTGTGGCATACAAATAAAGGTGGATATGTAACGGAAGGATTGAGAAATAGTTTCACTAATGCGACAAGTATTTCAGATGGGTCACAGGACTGGTCACAACTAAGGTTTGGTAAATTTGTACAGAAGTAGTTTAAAGTGATTATTCACATTTGTTAAAAGCTTATCCACACGAAAATGTAAACCTACCAAACTCGTTTTAGTGTAAAATTAAAGGCAGTATGGTCAATGCTTTTCCTTATTATGCTTGTTGTTCTTATGTTTCTCTTAGAGAGAGTTAATGTGTGATAAGATTCTTATAAATGTATTGAACTAATATACTACATAGCTCCGATAAACTGTCGTCCCATTACACTATCACTAACAATTTCAGAGATATTACTGTAATACAGTTAAAGTAGTTGCAGCAGATACATTGATTATGAGTACGTAACGTTTGTATAGTATGCATTATTAGATTGATTTCATTCTTCAAAAACTCTTTAATCGCCTTGAGCTAATCATCAAGGTCCACGTTTGAACTTTGTTCCACCTTCTAAGAATTATGTAACCATGTAGTATGATTATCCTACAGAATAAATGATTCACAGCCTAGAACATAAGCACGCAGGTAGTTGCTAATTTATGAAATTTTATTCCTTAGGTTAAATTTACGTCAAGAATATTATTAAAACCTATGGCATACTGAGTTTATGATGATGATGATGCGTGGGAACATATGATTAAGTATCACCAATGTACACCCTTACATAGTTAATTTAGTTTTAGAAAGCGACTCCGCGTAACGAGAATTTCTCGTGGCATTAAGTACTATTGAGTAAATTAGAATAACTCGGGCATGAAAGATTTTAGTAGTGACGAACTACTGAGTGAAAAAGTTATTTTAAAAAATCCAATATCATACGAAAAATGAGACATGATATATGATTAATACATTTATATAAATAAAACCAATGTTCAGATGCTTTAGAATTTATGATTAAAAAAAGTGTGAATTACGATTGACAATTGGACTGTTAAAGTATTGTAATATCTGGATGCTTGAGCACAAGTATTACAGTTCAATCAACGAACAAGTGTAAAAGCTTAAAGTCAAGTAAACTACGTATCAATCAAAATATGATGAGCTAAAAAAATTTTGTTATCTGATCATAGAGAAGTGAATTCTACGTATATCCATGTACAGCCTTAGTTTCCTAGTGGAGTTGTACTGAAGTTGACAGGCAAGCGGATCTCGAAAGCTCTGTTCATAGAAATTCGAGCTCAGATTATCACAAAACTAAAACAGTATCAACAGCCCATGACGCAAATCAATACTATAGTTGCATTATTAGTAAATTCTTGTGGTGATATATTCGGGAGTCTACGGGTTGGTACATAAAAGTAAGCTAAATTGAAATCTAAGAATAAAAATATACGCAGTATTATTCTAAACCTCATGAAGCAGAAAAGTAGGACAAAAAACAACGAAATCATGTTAACTGTTTAATGAAAAAAGAAAAACGTTTATGAATAGGCTGCCAAATCGTATCAACAATTTACAGACAAAAAGGTAATATGAGCTGAAAGTTTGAACAGATGTATAAAAAACTGGTTAAATTAGATAGTTTAATTTAATAGCAAGTAGAAAGACTCAAAAATGAATAATAACTATTATAAAGACGATCTAAAAAATTTAGTGAATACACAGTCGACACAATTAAAGAATAGTGACTACAATGGGTTATGGACTAAAAGATTTTTATAACTTCTAACATTGGGTTTAAAAGTTGTAACACACTAAGCGCATTCTTTGGCAAACATCAACCTCGGTTTGAACAAACGAAACCGGAAATACTCGTTAGCAGAGGAAAGAAAACAAGATCTGAAACCATAAGATTTACAAAGAACAATAAGTATGATTGGAAATAACTGGGACATGATTATGAACTCCGAATCCGTTACGGGTTAGCTCCCAGTAAAGATAACGTGATAAAGCGGTATGAAACTATTTCAAATTATTTGAATTAGAAAAATGCGTAACGCGAGTGAATAACCACCCATTATTTAAAAAAGATATGGTTCTATATGTATTCGCTGATGTTCTAATAAAAAACCCGAAATATCAGTTTAAGCCAATTACAACTGAAAACAGGAACATAGTGGTCATATTATGATTTGAACATAGTCATTATTGAACAGTGGCCATTGGACTTCTAAAAACCGTATGGCTAGACAGTAATGTGCTATCCTTGAGACATCAATGTCCATCGCTTGATTGAGAACAAGAATGAGAATAGATACTCGTGGATCTTGGACTGAACATGGAGATTCCTACCACTTCATGGTTTCCCAGCCATCAGTTTGTTACACGAACTATTTCGCATTCACAAAAGGCTACATAATAAATCCGGTTTGCAATGTAGAAGCAAGATAATATAAATCGAAATACTTCTGAATGTTATCTATCAAGTCAAGAGGAGAAAACGATCCATAAGTGTGTTAAATTAATGCATACACATATAGATTAGCAGAATTCCTCTCCACTTAAAGAAAGAAATAGCGTTTAATCATTCAAACGTAAATCTTTAAACGTTATACAATACCTCTTCAATGACTGCAGCACGGAAAGATGCACCACGAGTAGACATTTCGTTTAAATTGTAAGAGGTTGAAGAGATCGAACAACTGTTTCCCCGGAGATTATGTCGCGTTTTAGCCAGTAAAAGTCTTCCTTCGCCTTTCATCTAAATTTACAGTAATTCCATAACCTACTTAAAGAATCCTCTAAATGGTGATTCAAATCAATAATGGTAGACAAATTTTCCAGATGATTTAATACAAGTGTGTCTAACTCATCGTCAGTTGGTATCGTGATCATTGATTTTGAATATACTGGAAAGAATGAAGATATTTTGTTGGTAGGTATGATAGCTTCCTATACTTACCTGATAAAAATTAACTTAAATCGGATTGTTAGCAGTGGCGTCACACGAAAAAGATGGAGGTGGAGAAAAAATGGTAACCGTAGTAAAAATAATATTAAAAAATGAAGACAGGGCAGCTATAAAAATGTAAGAGATTGATATTTCCCAGTTTCCAAAACCATAGAAGGATATTTCTCCTTGGGGATCTGAAAAGGAAAATTGATTAGTAGTGAAGGTCTCATTGAATTAAGAGCATGAATCCAGTACACAAAAGACAGTGTTCTGAAGCTGTTCACACGTTTTTGACTAGCATCTTATGTCTTAGCTACGTGTATATTTCAGATCCTACCACTAGTACATGAAGTTCATGAGGTAAGGCGAAATGTTCCATTTTAATGTTGACTTTTTCAAATCTTTCCATTGCCCAATACGTATAACAAAGTTGAGAATTCACAGTAAAACCAACCTTTACTTCATTTTCACTGTTACATAACTGGTACCTATAAACAGATAATAATGTCCGATGCTTTTTGGTCAATGATAAATAATGAGAAACTTAGCACAGACGTGCAAAACACTTCTCATTAACAGGGTACAGGAAATCAGGATTAGATGCTAATTTCCACTAAAATAATACTAAAAAAGTTGTGTATTAAACCTAGTGAATATGCTATTCAGAATCAAAGAAACAGAGCGTAGAATGAAAAATACTAAGTAGTATTACTCTTAAGAGATAAACGACAGGAAATGGATGAAAATGCACTAATCTAATAGATTTTGGGTAACTTTACTCAAGGTTTTCAAATACATACTGCAGACAGATAGACATCATCAGTGTATAACGTGATACAGATGTAAGTTGAAATAAGTTGCCATACCATATTAACACAAAATAAAAATAACAAAAGTGATTGAAATAATGTAATAGCAATAATAAAGACTAAAGTTTAGGAATATAGTTTGGTAAGACAGAGTAGTAGTACTTGCGGAGAGATATTTGAATTAAAGATCGAAAGATAAAAAGTGAAGGGGTCTGCGACATTGAACTATTCTGAGCCAAGATCTCAGAATACTGATGGCAGTTATCACGCAGATCCCAACCAAGTACCTGCATCTACACATGGCTTAATCCAACAGTCAAGGACTTTATGGACTGGTGAAACGTGGCCTATATCCCAACCACCTCAATCGAAGAAAACCCACTACCTAATTTACCAACTTTGCCAAGTGCTCAACTTTAAAATTGCTCACTCTGTTATTCCATGAAACGCGAGCAGTGCTCCGTAGAAATCCATGACCCGACACCTTTAGATAATGTTTTACAGCCATGAAGTAATACAGAGTGGACCGCTGTGTACTATATACGCCTTTTGGGTGGCAAACAAGAAATTTGCCTACGCTCCAAGTAGCGCAAGCCGACAAACGTTAAGTGAGTTTTCCGATTCCGTGCCAAGATGATGAGACCTCTAAGATAAATGGACTGATCAACGCACTCAACAACTTCACTTATTATTACCAGTGCTGAAGTATTTTGAGAAGAAACCCATTCCACACACGCTAGAATCGTTCTTTGAGACGATCAGAAGACTAAGTTTTGTCAGCGTCTTTGCCAAATAAGATTGCATTATTTAAGCCTTCTAAATCGATGAGCAGATCGCCTAGTAGGAAACTTGGTAACATCCCGGTTAATTTAATTGATGAAACTGGATCACCAAACCTACATATCTCTATGATTAAACCATCGGGTTTTGCTGCTATCCATCGTCTTAGATTAACCATAGTATTTCCAACTTCATTAAGAGTTAGAGAACTTGTATCAGTTCCCCGCTTATGTTTATTAGGAATAAGGGGTGACTGAACAGTGGCTGGAGGCTAATTGAACTGTTCCCTAATGTGTTCTGCTTATCTATCTAATCTCCCTGATTGATAGTGGATAATAGTTTCATCCTTTTCCAAGATAGTCCCACTAACACTTAGCTTTTTAATACTTTTTTAATAAGTCGGTGGAGTAACCTAATGTTACTTATCTCTTCTGTATTACATTTCTTTTGCTTTCGTTGCCGACCACTGGTCACGATCATTGCGTTAACTTTTTGTTAGTTTACGTTTGAACTGTCGTTGCTCTCCATCGTACCTCCAAACCTGCAGAGATGACTTATCGAGTATTCATCAATTCACTTTGTGTCACAGAAACCCATTGCTCTTTATTAACCTTTTAATTTGAGTTCTTGATGTCGCTGCTGTAATTACAGTTACTTGGACATCTTTTTAAGTTTCTTCAGGATGAACTATTACTTTAAGATCAATAAGGTACTTAGCCAATTTTTTCCCAAAATACATCCTTGATCTTTTCATCAAAATTTATATTTGAAAGGTCGGTCAGCTACAACGTAGGACCAGACACATATATGCACCGGTTCAAGTTGTCATACCTCATCTTCCGGTTGCGACTTTCTTACGTCCGTTAAAGCGCATATAAATGTGCTTTGACAATGGCATAATTGCAGTTCAAATATATACTCCAGTAGAAACGAAAGTCTCCTATCGACCCTCTCCAGAGGTGGCCAATGGAGATGTGGTCTATTTGCATTCGAATTTCAGTGGTAGGGTCACAAGGTTAGATGGTGTCTCTCCTTATAATTAAATTTTGTACTTACCATAAACAATCAGCCGTTTGAACAGAACTGCAGATGATCACTGTTATCTGCTCACTGGGTTGAGATACCATAAGACCCACCTAAGTGTTAAAGTTGATCTAGTCAACTGACTTAGGCATTAAGATAGCCTGCCACGACTAATACGTCTGAGCCCCTAGGTTTTTAAAGAAGGTTACGAAGTTTTCTACTGAGACTTGTGGGACGCTAAGAGATTGCAGGGATGATGGTTTTATGAAGCAATACAGAATAAGGATAAGTTACTTCAGAATATTAAACCATTGTAAGTGTGAGGACAGTTACTTAGTATTCTGTAAGCCAATGCATGGTTATACTTTTCAGTCTATACTAAAGGGAAACTGATTATTATCGATCCATATAACTAAGATTTATCGGCAAAGCCTACAGGGAATTCGCTGTTCTCATGAGAACAGTTCGAAATAGACGTAGAAAAGTAGGAAACACAAGCGACGAAAATGCAAATCTATGGGAAGCGTCACTTAACGGTTGCCTATTATATTTACTTCCCTTTCTACTTTATTAAAATTTATTCACTTTCTCATTTATCATTACTTTACCCCACTCAATTGAGTATCCAATGCAATTACGTTCGTTTAGTTGTAATAAGACTATTTGACGTCTTTTCAAGTATATATTACTAGTATTTCTACGCTACCAGGATTTGTCACGAAGATTCAAAAAGAGAAGAACAAGGTCTTCTATCTTTAACGTACGTAACGCAAAAGTACAAATTATTGCACAATATCCAACAACTAATATATTTCTGACGAAATTGTATAAGCCACTCGGTTTCTCTATACTCGTTTCTTGATCTTGTCGTTCGGTTGCGAGTCCATGGCACCGTCCAGTGTAGGTAGTTTAGCCACTCATTCGCACTCATTTCATTGATACTCATATGCAACAATCATTTCTTTTTACATTATTCAGTTTTCGGTATTCATTAGGAGGTCAGTCGACCTTAATTAGTCGCCAGTAGAAATAAATGTATCCCCGAGGTCAGTAGTTCCGTAAGTTTCAACATTTGATGCTGATCGCATTAGTTTTAATGGACTCACCTAGCTGAATGCGCTCGGTCATGCATCCGCACCCGATCACGAGAGGGAACGCCGTGCTCAACAACCCCTGCAATCGCTAGCCGGATTAGATCAGACGATCCTCGACATATTGATAGCCTATCAAATATATCTTCGAAACTCCTCGTTTGTCTTTTGATTTCACTTGGTAGGTACGATTCATATCAGAACGTGTTACGGGTTAAAGCGTTGTCAAACTCCGAATGCCTGTGGCATCTTCATTGGTGAGCCTAACGTGATCTGGTACACCAAATCGCGAATTGTGAGTCTGTTCTTTTTTAGGATTCTATATATCATTGCCTTATTTTAATTTTTTAGACATTGTGTGGCCAGACAACATCGAAGCCTGGTTTTTTACGCAGAAGCCGACCTCTCCAAGCACGGCGTGATCGACATACGTGCACAATTCCTCGCAGTAGTCAAGGCACTACCGCGCGAATTCAACAGGTACATAACACCTAGTATGTTTACTAGTGATGTTTCTGAACCTTACGAAACGCCAAAACGTTTTGTTCTTAAACGCGGAGACCTAACCGATAGACAAAGTTTAGACCAACTCCTCGATAACATCGACCTGCAACACGGTTCTGCGACGGACATGTTGCAACGAATGAAAGAGGTTATCGGCCAAAGAACCTTCGATTATGGCCTATTTAAACAACTTTTCTTATCCAAACTTTCTCAACAAATGCAAGATGTGCTTGTCTCGTTTCACAATAACGCCTAGGATGAACTGGCTGCATTCGCCGACCGCATTTTAGAAATCACGAAATTTAATGCCGAGGTTTTTTCAGTCAAAGAAAAGCCTCAAGCGACACAGAAGGACATAACAGAGTTATGTCATACCTTTACACGTTATCTTGAACTTCGCAACGGCCGTAAGAGATCACACCTCTCGAAGGAGCACTTCACGAAAACGATCTGTCTCTGGACCATGAGAGACTGATAACCACGACTGGTGCTAGTATCATAACCAGTATGGAAAGTCCTCCAGAAATTTCAGAAAATCCTGCAGTTTTCCCAACTAAAAATCGACCAACATAAAAACAATTCGAGAAACTTCCAAGCCGGCACGCGTTAAAAGCAACCGTAGCCGTCGCATATGTGACAATGAGAGTTCGCTACCTCGTCGACACTGGCGCAGAAGTTAGCGTTCTCCCAGCGAATTCCAACGACCGACTTCACGAATCGACCCTAAACTTACAGGCGGCAAACGGAAAACCGATCGCTACGTAATGGCAGAAGGTACGTTTACCTTAACGTCGGGTTACGAAAGCCCATCCACTGGATCTTCGTTGTTTTTTATAATTAATTTTTTTTTAATTATTAATGGCTTTATTCAATACTATATTTTGGTACAATATAGAATTCTCAGCACAGGGTATTTCAACAAGTTACTTACTGAACAACGAACAAAAAGGCAGTAGCGAATACATAAAGAAATATATAAAATAAAAATAAAATAAAAAAACCCAAAAGAAACTACAAACTTTTAAAATTAAAGACATGTTAAGAATGTAAGTTATTGACTAAGTTAATTCTAACAACCTGTTCGTCACAGAGTATATTTGCTAGATAAGGTATTATAGAACTTTTATACTTTTCCTTGCGTGCAAGGATTTTAATGTAATTACGTCTCGTTCTACCAGAAGATATACGAGGAGAAAGATAAGAGTGAAGGGAATGGCCAGTATCTGATAAAATAACACCTGCCAGGAGTTTGCGTGATTTTAAATGTCTATCCACAACCATATTAATTATGACCTCGAAAGATTCACCACACACCTTGCTAACTGCCTTCAGCACTCTTCGCAATACAGAAAAGTCTTTTCTCAAAAGCCCGGGAAAGAATAATGGAGAACAGTAAAGAATAATAGGTAATATGCAAGAATTGACAAATTGTAAGAGAAAATGACGAGTAATTCCAAGAGCATGCAATCTCTTTATGTAGTAGGTCAGACGGAAAACCTTCTTTGATAACGATAAAACGTGGGAAGACCAAGAGAGATCAGAGGAAAAGGTGACACCAAGATAATTGACCTTCGACACCGCGTTTATCAAAGAGTCTCCGATGGTACAAGCACTATGGGATCTCAAAATAGTGTTTATGTTCCGTTCATGTCTCATACTAAAGTTAAAAGCTTGACATTTAGATGGATTAAGTATGAGACCATTACCAACAGACTAACAATCAATACGAGACAAAAACTCATTCATTTCTATGGGATGTAAAGAGGAAGATATAGGCATACATACAGTGAGATCATCCGCATACTTCACAAAAGTGTTTTCTGTGGAAGATGGCAGGTCATGCAGAAAAAAAGAGAATAGAAGAGGTGAAAGAACACCTCCTTGTGGTACACCTTCCTGAGACAGTAGAGAATCTGAACTCTTTCCTCCAAACACAGTGTACTGTTCCCTTCCAGAGAGGTAGGAACACAGCCAGTTGGTTATCCAGCTGTCAGTGTTGACGCTGATTAACTTGTTAAGTAAACGCTGTCTTGGTATAGAGTCAAAAGCTGAAGTATAGTCTAGAAAAGCACATCGAACATAGTTCTTACCCTTTTCTAAGTTGAACACTATGTTGTGATGCAGAACTGCAACAGCATCTAAAGTGCTTCTTTTGCGCCTGTATGCAAACTGGTATGGGTCAGTATGCTCTTTTATCGCAGGCTGAAGTGGAAGTATTAATAATTTTTCCATGGTTTTGAGGAAAGGTGAAGTTATTGCAATAGGTCTAAATTTTACATTCTTATCACCAAATGCTTTCTTGGGTACAGGAATTATCTTCATCTTTCTCCACATTTTTGGTATGAGATTAGATGTGAAAGATCTGTTAAATATAGTTGTGAACGGATGACACAGAACGTCAGCACATTTTTTAAAAAGGATGTTTGTGATACCATCAGGTCCCAAACATCGAGATGAATTAAGCGACTGGAGACATCCTCGTACATCAGTTTCAGTGAAAGTATGAACACAGCTAGTTTTTAAACCCGTGGATAGAAGGAGCATCACATCAGATGACTGACGTACAAAAGACTTGCTTAAGTCACAAACATTCAGCTGGTTATCGATTCTAAACTTTCTGTCACCTATAAGTTCTTTAAAGAATTTCCACATACTTGGAGAGTTTTTGCAAGATAAGAGCTTTTGAGTAAACATACAGTTGAGACGTTTAATCTCTAGGTTTATCAGACCATTTAGTTTACGAACTTCATTAGAGTTCTTCTCCTTGTACATGCTTTCTTTCATCCTTCGTAGTCGTTTTAGTTGTGAAGATGTAAGTCGATCAAAACTTACAAAAATGGTTTCAGTGGGACAACAAATATCAAAACAGAATTTAAGGTAACAAGTGATAACATCAGTAGTATTTTCCAGTGAGTCATCTGTAAATAATTCCCAGTTAGTCGTATGAAACATGTTTTTCAGATTTCGGATATTTTCTTCTGTGTAATTCCTATATTTGACTTTTCTGGTTTGACGTAGGAGTGTACTCTTCCTATGCTTTCCATATACTTTGGGTAGAACACGAATTATACAGTGATCTGAGCTACACAATGGAGCACGTTTACGAGTCGCATATATACCCACATCATTAATGAAGACGAAGTCTAGATGAGCATCCAGACGGGTAGGAAAATCTACTACATTTTGGTGACCTAGTGACGTTAGGAAGCTACAGTCACATGAATTGAAATCACCACATACAACTGAAAGTGAATCACTGAAGGCAGTAACAGCGAACTCAGTGAATTCATCAGCAAAAACAGATAGTGCAGATGATGTGCAGTCTGGAGTAACGTAGATATTGGTAACATAAACATATAGGGCGGCCTGCTTGAGCATCTGGGCTACCTGTTCCTGCCATCTAAATATTTCAACAAGTTATCTACTTTTGTTTGTTTTAATATATCATTATGTTTATTAATCGCATAAACAAGTCTGCTGCGCTTCTGAAAAGTGTACAACCTTTCGTTGTCAAAGTTACAAAAAACTCAATAAGAGACAATGTAGTTGCTGGCAATATACAACGAAAAGAATGCACATTATTCAGATGTTCATTTACTGAACTACTAACACCTAACTGGCGATCACTCAATACTTATCGCCAGGACCGACCAAGAAGAAAGAAACGGAAACTTGTTGAAATACTTTGTGCTGAGAATTCTATATTGTACCAAAAATATAATATTGAATAAAGCTGATAATAATAATAATATTTGTATTTATTCAGATGTTTTGGACGACATCTTAGAGTTAGACAGTCGATAAAGTCATTTGAAAACTTAAAACACACAAACGAAGATCGACACCAGTTTATGTTTACAAACGTAGCTACACCGCCACCACACCTCTTTTTATTGTTCGATCGATCCTGACGATAAATTTTGAAATCATGTAGTGATACAAGGCAGTCATCCTGTAAATCATTCAACCAAGATTCTTGAATTGTGATGACACCACTATTACGATACGTATTTTGACTAAGTAAGAATTGCAGATAGTCCACTTTGTTGATTAGTGATCGGCAGTTAGATTTTAGTAGCTCGGGAATCGACATACGATTGATGTTCATTCTCTTTAACGCATATTGCCAACCACCACGATGCCTTTTATAGTACTTTTTCGTAACTTGTGCAGCGGAAGGTCGTAGGCTTTTCATAAAAGCGCCTGAATAGGTTATGCGGTTAATGGACATAATTATAAATTAAAACAAATGAAAAACAGATAACTTGTTGAAATAATCAGATGGCAGAAACAGG